CAACAAAGGGAAATGGAGGCAAACCAATCTGGTCAAACTTCACTGGAGAGCCCTCTGTTGGAACAGGTAAAATGATTGTTTTGATAATAAAGCAGCACCACCCTCCTTCTCATCTTATCTTTTTTATTATATCCCTTTTTAATAAGATGTTGACACATTGGTTGTATTCTTTTAGGAGATGTCAACTGATCCATCAAAACAAGTGAAGCTTGGCTCATTGAGTGGCCTTGTTCCAAAGGAAAAGGCAATGGCTTTTGAAAGGATCTTATTCCGTGCCATAAGGGGTAATATTTTCCTCAGGCAAGAGCCTGTTGATGAGCCCGTCACTGATCCAGTTTCTGGGGAGAAGGTTGGCACATATTTTCTAGCATTTTTTTATTTTTTTAAATTCTTTTGGAATTTTTTCGTTCCTGGCCCTTTCAGAATATCTACATTGATAATGGTTCTTATTTATATGCACAGTTAGAAAGAAAAATCTGAATGATATCAATATAACTATTCTTTGTACCAAACGTAATGGCAGGCAAACTCAGTATAAATACTTGTACAATTCTGATTGCAGTAACACTGATACTTATGACTTTATGACTATTTTGGTATTTAAGTGATTAATTCATGAGTGATGATTGCTACACTTGATAATATTTCCCATTTATCAGCACCCTAATTGTTCTGTTCTAACTTTAAGCTTGGTGTTTATTCTTTGCTTGGACTTATCTGCCAACCTTTTGTATGGTTATGCAGGTAACGAAGAATGCATTTGTTATATTCTACTCTGGAGAGAGGGCAAAAACCAAAATTCTGAAGATATGTGATGCCTTCAATGCGAACCGTTACCCGTTTCCAGAAGATGTTAGCAAACAACTTCATGCTGTTCAGGAGGTCAGCACTTGAAATATGATATTTGTTGATATTCCTTATTGAGTTCCTTGTGGTAGATGATAACTTCTGATGTTGTGTTAAGTGGTTTAGATTCTTGTGAACTAGAAATTCAAGTTAGCAAATTCGGCATGTGAAGAGCAATGTCCTTTTGGATATGTGCTTTGCATGTGATATGAGTGTGCAATTAAATCCTGTTGTGATGCTACTGGAATGGTCATGTTGGATACTTAGTTGAGTTCCACTCACAAATGACTCTGCCTTAGTCTTAAGATTGCATGTAAGCATTTTCAATACAAGGTGAACATTTTATTACCTAAGTGTTGTCGATTGCTCAAAAATGATTTGCTGGCTGTGCTTGCATTTTTAAGAGTTTTGAATTAAGGCTGAGGCACTAATAGGAGAGTCTTTTCATGTATGAGTATTTAAACCCATGATATGATCTGAATTTTATGATCTTATAGGTATCTGGGAAGATCTCAGAGTTGAAGGCAACAATTGACATGGGTTTAGCTCATCGTGACAGTATACTAAAAAATATTGCTTCTGATTTTGAACAGTGGAACCATCTGGTAAGCTTCACTTGTTATCTCCATGAATTTGATGAAATTTTACGTTTTAAAGTTACTTATTGCTTTACTTTGCATTCTATTTATCTCATATCACAGTTTCATTATCATTACTAAATTTCAAAATCAATGCTACAGGCGAAGAAGGAAAAAGCAATTTATCACACCTTGAACATGCTGAGCGTTGATGTTACGAAGAAATGCCTAGTTGCTGAGGGCTGGAGTCCAGTTTTTGCAAGCGTTCAGGTAGTTAAAATGTGCATTCTCTATGTTCTCCTGGCTGCCTTCTTGATTCCACTTTTGACATTCGAATGGGAATGATTTACAATGGATCTCTGCAGATTCAAGATGCTCTTCAGCGTGCTACTGTTGATAGCAAATCCCAAGTTGGCTCAATATTTCAAGTTCTCAACACAAAAGAATCTCCTCCAACATATTTCCAGACAAATAAATTTACTTCAGCGTTCCAGGAAATTGTTGATGCGTATGGGTATGTTTTCTAACTACCCTTGCAGTTTACCTCACATGGGACATGTGGCACAAATGATAGTGAATATTTTTGTGCAACTAATGCTAACGAACTGTTGTGTCAAAAGTATATTTTTCTAAACAATTTTTTATTTGGATATGTGTAGCAATTGTTGATCAAGGTTAGAATTCACAGTTATTTGCTTAATGTTTCTGTCAAAATTAATCCTTCATGTTTTAGAAACACAAATTACTTCCTTAGACGAAGGCTAACATGGACTGCATATTTTTTGTAATTATTATAAAGAAGTGCAATTCATGTCATTTGAGGTTTGGCTCAATACTGTAAGGTGGATAAGTGCTAATGCTGTGTTCCATGTGGTACAGTGTGGCCAAATATCAAGAAGCAAATCCTGGAGTATTCACCATTGTGACTTTCCCTTTCTTATTTGCTGTCATGTTTGGTGATTGGGGCCATGGAATTTGTTTGTTACTTGCAACGCTTTATCTGATAATCCAGGAGAAGAAACTATCTTCACAGGTTTGTGCACTAGTCCTGATTGCATTTTGCTTCACTTATCTGTGTATCTGTAGTACTACAATTCTACGACCTGTTTTGGAGTTGGAACCTTAGCTGTATTCCCCAAGAGATTTTTTTTTAAAAAAAACTTAAGAATCTGGGATATGAGAGTACTTAGTTTTGTTAATAATTTCTTTGTTAAAGCTGCCGTTACATCGCTTTTTTTTTGTCGCAGAAACTTGGAGACATAATGGAGATGATGTTTGGTGGGCGTTATGTAATTTTGATGATGGCACTTTTTTCAATTTACACAGGATTAATATACAATGAATTTTTCTCTGTTCCATTTGGGCTTTTCGGTAAATCTGCCTATGAATGCCGTGATCCTTCTTGTAGGTAAGGAAAATGATATAAAGAAACCTATGCTTATTTATTTATAAAATTGCACATTTATCCGGCTCATTAATTTCCCCACTTTTGGTCACAGTGATGCTACTACTGATGGACTAATTAAGGTAAGAGATGCATACCCTTTTGGTGTGGACCCTGTCTGGCATGGTAGCCGCAGCGAGCTGCCGTTTCTCAATTCACTGAAGATGAAGATGTCGATTCTTCTTGGAGTTGCACAAATGAACCTTGGGATCGTGATTAGTTACTTCAATGCAAAATTTTTCAGGAATAGTATTAATGTGTGGTAAGTTTATTCACCTTTTATCAGACAATATGACATTCCATTTTGAGATGAGGATCTACAACGATTGTGAAGAAGCAGTCGATCCTTTAACAGCATGTTACAATCACTAGATTATGATTTTTCCATGTGTACTCCTTTTGAAACAGGTACCAGTTCATTCCCCAGCTGATCTTCTTGAACAGCTTATTTGGTTACCTGTCCTTGCTCATTATTATTAAGTGGTGCACGGGGTCAAAAGCAGATCTATACCATGTTATGATCTACATGTTCCTTAGCCCAACAGATGACCTTGCTGAGAACCAGTTGTTTAGTGGCCAGAAGACCGTCCAGGTCTATATTCCTTGTTGATAAGTTCTCTTCTGTGAGGCAGACTGGTCTATCATGCCTAACCATTCGCCTTTTGAAATGCAGCTTGTTCTACTTCTGCTTGCTTTGGTGTCTGTACCTTGGATGTTGATTCCAAAACCTCTTTTATTGAAGAAGCAACATCAGCAAGTATGTTTATATAGTATTATTCTATCGGTGACTTGATGTTTTGTGGCTGCAGTTTACTTTTACACTGACTGTTTTTCTATTTCTTTTCAATCAGAGGCACCAAGGTCACCAGTACGCTATGCTTCAGGGCACTGATGAATCAGTGGGAGCAGAGTTGGGGGAACATCATGAGGACGCACATGACCATGAGGAGTTTGAGTTCAGTGAAGTTTTTGTTCACCAACTGATTCACACGATCGAATTTGTTCTTGGTGCAGTCTCAAACACAGCTTCATACCTTCGTCTTTGGGCTCTGAGGTAATGCTAATTTAAGCAGTATATTTATTTAGTATTTACACAGCCTCACCTATGCACAGTCCCATACTTCCTAGGGCTTGTTTGGCTGCACCCTAATCCACATAGGTGCATTGGAGTGCAGCCAAACAAGTCATTTTTTTACCTCACTGGCTACTAACGAGCTACGGATATTCTCCTTTCAGTCTTGCACACTCCGAGTTGTCCAGTGTATTCTACGAAAAAGTACTACTAATGGCATGGGGGTAAGCAAACAAGTCTCTCGAGCCATTAAAATAAACATTTTGGCACTTTCTGAAATGCAATTGTTTCTTGTAGGCTTAACAATGTTTTCGCCCTTATTATTGGTGGCATCGTCTTCGTCTTTGCCACGGTTGGTGTCTTGCTTGTTATGGAGACCCTGAGTGCATTCCTTCACGCGCTGCGGCTTCACTGGGTGGAGTTCCAGAACAAGTTCTATGAAGGCGATGGTTACAAGTTCGCCCCATTCTCCTTTGCACTGATTCATGAGGAGGAAGATTGAGCTCGTCCCAGCATTTGTATTTATTGTAGCCGATGTAAAATCTATCTTTGGTGGCCTTTGTTCCCAGAACAAATCATTTTTTCATCTGTTGTCTCGGATGGATCATAAACCTCAGTCCCTTTGTTTAAGCATGGGACGAACAGCATCATTTTTCCTTCCTTAGCTATGCAGAGGATTTTTGGGGTAGTTGGCAACAAATATGGGGTGATATCACCCTTGTATGATGCTAATAAGTAGTTGCCGATTGGTGGTGTGTTGGATATAAATAAGCACTGTATTCAAGGCTAAACATTCCACTAGTTTCATTGTCAATAAAGAGTGCTATTTACGCTGCTGGCGTTAGTCGTTTCCTGGTCTGTTGTTAAGCACTATAATTGCTTCATCATCTCATTGATACCCTGAATCAGCTGTGTCTTATAACCAAAGCAAAAGCAAAAGCAAAAGCAAAAGCTAAACCAGAAGCACGTTATAAAAGTTGTGTTAAACACGTCTGACTGCATGTGACATCGAAGCAAAGCCTAATCATATAACAAACTAGCAGCTGCTAGGCTAGTATTGTCACTCGTCAACGACGTTGGGGACGCTGCTGGCGCTGCGCCTAGCGCTGCTGAAGGGTCCCGTGACAGTCCGGCCGACGAACTTGCCGGCCTTATGGAGTCCACTGCCGAACGCGCCAATGCCGGAGCCCACGGCGCCGATGCCCGTGCCAACCATCCCAACGCCGGAGCCGGCCGCGCTGACGCCCGTGCCGGCAACGGTGCCGGCCGCCGCGACGCCCGTGCCGGCCACGTGGGTGACCGTGGACGCCATGCCGCTTTCCGCGTCCGCGGCGCCGCTGGCGGCCCCCGTCTCGCTCTTCACCTTCCGCCGCTCCTCCACGGTCTGCTTCTCCAGCTCCAGGGCCTCGCGCGCCTCTGCATTGGTGAACTGGTGGTACACCACCTGCAATATAGCTTGCAAAAGGAACGTCAGACAACCGGGGACTTGTTGCTGCCAACTGAACACGAAAAGGACGAGACTGAACGATCCTGCCTTGATGCTGAGCATGCCCCTGTCCTTCTTGTCCTTGACCTTGGTCGTGTCCAGCGACGACAACAGCTGCAGGTTCACCTCCTGCACGGTCTCCATCTCCAGGTCGCTCAGGGGCAGCTTGGCGATGCCAAGCCTCTTGTCTTGCTTCATGTTGTCCTCATCGAACACCTGAAGGTCCAGAGAAAAATGAGTCCTTGCCTTAGGAGTACCTGGAAGGAAACAAGCAGTGAGGTTTATCAGTTCGTGTACACCTCAAGAATTAGGGACTGCGTCTCCTTGTCTTCCGCGATCAGATGGAACGTTTCGTTCCAACGAGGGTTGAGGTTGTCGTCAATGACGCTGGTCTTCTCCTTGAACATCGGGCGTATGAACAAGACCACGTAGGGGTCGGATTTGCCGATGAGTTCCTTGTTCTTGAGGGATTCTGCGCGGACCACAGTGACCGTGAGCTTCCCGTGCGGCTTCAGCTCCAGATCGCTGCACAAGAGCGCACCATAACCTTTCTGTCATTCTAACAAGTTCTTCGAGTAGACAGATCAAACAACTTCATGCACATGATTCTAACAATATATCAGATTATATTAACCTGACGTCAACGTCAACTCCACCCAGTGGAACAACGATTCTGTGTGGCCATTGGAGCATGTCAGTGATCAGTGACGCCACTGTATCCTACACAGACATAACGGGGAAATATGATTATTTTTTCCTTCTCAGATTTGTAGATAGGAATGAAACAAAGGTGAAAACAAAAGAAAGGAAAGTTCATTTCATACGTCAATCATGTCTGAAAGCCCAGGCATTGCGGTCAGGCTTCCTCCCACGGCTTTCAGTATGTAGTCAATTCGCGGTTTTGGCTGCAATTGCAGGGAAACCACGCGTCTCAGAATTCAGAAACAAATATATTACAAGAAATAAAGCATGTCTCCTTGACATTGAAACAAAAGAAAGACTGCTATCATATGCAACATCTCTGACAACTAAGTGTTTTGAACTAGAATTAAAAAAAAAATCAAAGCCTAGACAGGATTAGAGGAGTTTCAGTAGCTAAAAGAAGCACACCTCTGCCAGAAGAGCAACGACAACAGCAGATATGCATGGTATCTCGTCCGACAATTGGAAGACAACACGGATGATGGTGTACACCTGAAGGTTCTTAAACTGTATACATATATACAAATAAACACAGGAATTGTTAAAATAATTAGCAAGATGAGAAAACAAAAATTGAAGTTTAAACATGAGTTCCTGTTTTTTTTAGACAAGTGCAAACATAAAATCTTATACTGCAGGCAAACAATTGTAATGGAGTCTAAAAGGATATAATTAAGAGGGTCCATTTTTACTTGGTTTGCTTAAGCTGTAATTACCAACATAGTTCCACGTGGTAAATTATTTTATATACGTGTAGGTAGTTTAACGACAAAATTTAACATTCGTTTATAGAAAATGTGGGAAATTAAATCTAATATCCCTTTTGGTCACGAGCCTGTGGCGATCTGCAAACCTGAATGGGAAGCGAAGCAACAAGTGTTTCGACTGCAAGAATAATATTTGGATCCCCACCCCACCGGAAGTCCATGTCCATTGTAATCTGCCCTTTCTTAAAACTCTGAATCCGAATGCCTGAACATAAAATAGCATGTCACAGCGAGATCCTATGAGAACATATAACTGTTAAGTCGACAGCATTTTGTCTTAGCAACCTTCTATTTTCGGTGGAACAGTCCCAAGGGAGAGTCTGCTGAACTTCAGTGAGGATATCCCTGGAGGTCGATAATCATCCAGTATCGGTTCGACAGAATCCCTAATGACCATGGTTGCTGCCTATAATTAGATGCAACTATGAATCAGGATAGTTATTGGCAGCAAAATGGTTAGATCTGTATGTTTCTTAAAATGGGAGTAACTTCATTCTAAATTGTTTGCCCCCATAATGAAGTTTTCTGACAAAAACCAAAGTGATCATCGTACCTCTTCCACAAAGGGCCAAAGCTTGCTCAATTGTTTGTTGAGCCATTTGACCTGAAATGAAAACAAAAAATATGTATCAAGGGAAGCATGCAAGCAACAAATCAAGGGGACATAGCTCTAGGAGAGACAACTGCATCAGATGGAACAGTTGATGTTTCATTTTCCAGGTTTTATGTATTGAGGAGTTCTGAAGTAAATATATGGACTGCAAATGGTTTTCTGTCTGCGAAGCTCTGTCTAGCAGTTACAACAGTAAAAATTCAGATAACTTCTGGGTAGTGAATATCGTGGGACAAGAAATAGTCAAATTTACAAAGTAGCCAATACAGCAACAGCATTTTTACAGTTTCATGATTATAGCTACATCAAGTCAAGTAGCATTTCACCTGTTCATATTCTGGAAATGATATCCACTGGGGAACATTTTCTCCACATATTTTCTTCACGTCTTCACGGTTGAGAGATCCTAGTGCATTGACATCCGCAGCCTGTTCCAAAATGTTATCCCAAACTAAGATGAAAGTTAATTCCATAAACCCAAAAACTAAGATGCACTTTCAAATTTTTAATTCACATAAACCCAGATGAAACAAAATTGCAGTTTGAAGCGAAGCATCCACTTTCAAGATAACATTATCTTCATGCTGCACATCTGGAGGCGGGGATATTTTTTAGATAATGGATAAACATCCGGCCTCTACATCCGTAGATGTACAACAACAATGATAAAACAAAAAGAAAGCCAACTTATAACATGACCAAGAAATAAAATTGTTTCCATCCGTTATTGGATATCTCTACAATAACTTCTAATTTCTTGCTTATTGTCGAGAGCTGCGTCCTTAGCTTGCTCTACACGCTGCAATTGGCCCTAAACCAAGACGCCCACGAAAATGACCTGCATAATAGAGTTAGATTTAGATTTTATTAAAAAACAACATCATTACGGCATCTCCAAATAGCCCAACACATAGCAGCCACTTTTCTAATCCTTTTATTTTGATTAGACGACCGGTTACCAAACATGTGGTGATTGATCTAGGTTGAGTTAAACTAGTAGCAAAAATCGAAGATATCACATTGCAACACTTTTAACAATCAATCTGTATTTACCAACCAAGGAAAATTTTTATTTTTTTAGAGGCTTTTATCTTCCACTGTCAAATTAGTTCGACATCTATCAGAGACCGAAAATCAAAAGACCCGGTATCTGGAGGCGGGGAGGATCTCTCACAATATTATATAAAGAAGATCAAAAAACCTTTCAAGATTGCATAGATCAAATCGAAATGATGCAGCTGAACCTACCTTGTTGCTGCGTTTGGCGGCGCGGCGAGCCATGGCGCGCGCCCAGCCCGCGATCAGGGCGACGCCGACGATCATCCCCATTATGACTCCCGATATGAACCCCATTTCTTCTGTCCTTTTCTCAACGCGCCAAGAAAGAGAAGGAACCAGGGAGGAAGAAAAAGATTTGAAGTCAAAAGGTGGCAATTACATGCAGAAATTCTTGGATCAAATCGCTGACGATTGTCTCTCCAAATTGTTTATTACTGCTAACGCTGCATTTGGGACCGATTTTTTCGCGTGCTATTAGTAACAATAAAGAGGAGAGAGAGAGATGGGCCGACGTGCGATTGGTGAGAAGGTTGTCAATTGTCACGGCGAATTTTGCATGGCTGGATCTCTGCGATTGGTGCTTGGAGAGCCTTCGCTTCCACGCAGGCCCATGCGAAACTAATAAAATTTATAAGACTCTTAATACAATCATTGTTATAAAAAAATACAATCATCGAATTAAAAGTTTATATAAAAAAAGTGTAAAGATTTATAAAACCAAATTAGTATCATTATATACACCGTAAATATATTTTTATAATATACTCATTTCGTGTCATAAATATTTGTGTTCTTTTCTATAAATTCGGTCAAACATACAACTCTAGGAATTGATTTATTAAAGTATCATGGTAGTAATCGGTAGGTAAAAGTCTAGATCACTCACTCTAATTTTGTTTGTCCTGTGTCATGATAACCCTCTAAACTAATGTTTAATTTGATTTATTCTCGCAAACTATTTCAATCGGTATAATTTACCCCTTAACAAGATTCATTATTTTTGTTTCTCCGTGTATAAGTTGAGTTTTAGGGACCACTTGGAAATAAGAAACGGTTTCAATTCTCGCTGAAATCGGTACAAACAGCGACAAACACCTTCACTGTGAAACGATTCTGCCGTGAAATGTTTCATCTCGTTCAGTGTTTTTTGCCTGGGTGAGCGAAATGGCTCCGGGCTGGTTTCGCTATATTTTGTTTCTAGTCTCTCCCATACAATAGCGACCGTTTTTTTCTAGTTATCCTTTTTAAGTGCAACAAGTTAAAATATGTTATATTTAAGATATTCTTCGCCCGCAAAAAGTTCTAATTTTTTTGAAGATGATTTTATTTATATGTTTTTATGGAAAACATTTATTTTTGGAATAAGAATCTAGCCTACTAGCCAAACAGTTTCGTAAAGTGATTTTGAAACGTTTCTTGGGAGAATTTGGATTTGAAACGTTTATACTAGAATTTGGATCCCTACCAAACAGACCCTATGTTTCAAAATTTGTGAGGTGGTATACGACATTATATGTTTTTATGTTAAGAGACACATCTTAATTATTTGGTCAATATTTTGATAGGTTAGGAAATTTAACATAAGTCAACACTATAGATACAAATTTGTACGAACTATAATGATGAATAAGCCGATGTTCATTTTTACAAGGCGTCTAAGTTTACTTTCTCCTTGCATCTAACATTCTTTGAAAATGCATCGAATAGTTAAAGGCTAACTGACTGCACGTTTGCGCCATTCGGATGAACGAGCAATCTCTCGGTGAAGAAAGCGGGGACAGCGAATTGTCGCTGGGACCAGGCTTGGACTAATGACTTTTTTTTCGATTAGACAGTACAACCAGGCACTTAAAACGCACACATGATTTTATAATACAAAACCGGGGGCTACAAGATTCGTATTCAAATAATTATTTATTTATGATTATGCTTTTGTATCTGTTTTGAGCATTTTTCTATCGACGAAGTCTTGTGTCCTGCCCAAACCTAGAGAGTCCGCAAAGGCATTGAAAGAGTCAGCGTCTGCGTAACTTATGGTGAGTAACTAAGTTGACGTCAAAATAAAAGCAAATGAAAAGAAAAGTCAATTGGACATGGACAAAGAGAACCTTTGCTTCCATTGACACTTTAGCCTTTACATACACTTTTGCTGAGTAAAGCGCGGTGCTTGAGCTGAGATCTTGGGGAATCAGGAATCAAGAGAGAACAAAGTGGCCCCAAATCCTACGACGGGGGTGGCCGCATGGAGCACCCTCAGTCTTAAAAACCCCGTTGTTTTAGCTTTGTTGTCCAGGTTTAGAATTGGTCTTTTTGACGAATGGGAGTATGCAGTTTGTTAATTTGATATCCATAACCAGGCGGAAAAAATTAGTGCTTGACCATCATGGGCGAATCTAGCATAATATCATGTAAAATTCATGTATAGTGTACATCACAGGAGATCTTGTCTTGTTTTGATTTGGTCTTATTCGGCTGATGGCTTCTGCGGCTGATAAGCCGGCTGAAGCTGATTTGTTGTGAGAGAAAAATATTGTACGATAGTTAATAAGTCAGGCTAATAAGTTCAAACGAACGGAGCTATCGTTGGGCCACTGCCATAACTCACACACTCAGGATTTGTTGTGAGAGAAAAATATTGTACGATAGTTAATAAGTCAGGCTAATAAGTTCAAACGAACGGAGCTATCGTTGGGCCACTGCCATAACTCACACACTCAGCAGCACTTTGTTGTGAGAGAAAAACACTATAAAATATCTGATAAATCAGGTTGATAAGTTCAAACGAACTAATCGCTAATCGGAGCTAACTCGTTCAAGCACTTTTTGTTGTGAAGAAAAACACTATAAAATATCGATTTTATAAGTTCAAACGAAGCTGAGCTAATCGTTAGAGCCCGCTATTTAATTTTTTAGCCTGTTCGCTATAATTTTACCTAATAATATGTTGCTTATTATTACGAGAGAAAAACGATGTATCGTAAACCCTGGCTGAAACCATTTGACCTCTTCCTTCCCCATCCAAATTCAACTCAATTATTAATTCCCTTGGCAATAACTCCGCTCTCCTCAGTCCGATCCTACGCTCCTTCCTACCTACTACTCCTACAATACTACAAAATTACAAATACACCACCAGCTGGCTCGGCGTCCAACCATCTCTTTCTCCATCCCTTCCCTCTCTACTTCTCTAGCTACGTCCACGCCAACCAAACAGGGCACCCTCTCTACTCTGTGCGTGCGGATGGGGCGGGTGGACTCTCACAACCCACCCATCCCGCTGACCGTGGGCCGGGCGTTTCATCGGGCCCACTGACCAGCGGCTGGCCTCGGATGCTCCTCTAGCCCGCTCTCGAACCCGTAGCAGAGGCCGAGCGGCGACGGAGTGAAGCACGCACGCATCTGAGAGAAGGAAATGGTGGAAAGCCATCGCACTTTTCGCCTCGCTCCGCTGCTGCGCTTTGCGGTGCTCCCCATCCCCTCGTCGGCTTGTCTTTTCCGCGCCCCGCCTGCTGCGCCTCTCCGGCCCCCTGGCCCCTAAACCCCCACCCCGCCGCGCCCGGCGATGCCCTCGCGGCAGCCCTCGCCGCCCGCGCCGTCGCCGGGCCCGGCCGCCGCCGTCGCGGTCGCGGAACCCCGATACCGCGGGGCCCGCCACCGCCGGGCCCCGCCCGCCGTCGCCGCCGCCGCGGGGGCGTCGGCCGCGGCCGCCGCGGCGCTGATCTTGGTGGCCGCCGTCGCGCTGTTGCTGCTATGGCGGAGGCGCCGCCGCCGCCGGAAGCTGGCCGTGGCGGCCGGGGCGCAGCACGCGGCCGACCTGCGGAGGCTGTCGTACCACCAGCTGCGCCGCGCCACGGGCGGCTTCGCGGCGGGGAGCAAGCTGGGGCAGGGAGGGTTCGGCCCGGTCTTCCGCGGCGCGCTGCCCCGGTCGGGCCAGCCCGTCGCCGTCAAGGTCATGGACGCCGCGGGCTCCCTCCAGGGCGAGCGCGAGTTCCACAACGAGCTCTCCCTGGCCTCCCACCTCCTCGGCTGCGCCGCCACGGCCCACGGGGGAGGGGGAGTGGGAGGCGGAGGGGGACCCGGGCCCGACCCGCCCCACATCCTGCTCCCGTTCGCCTACTCCCTCTCCACGCAGCCACGCCGCTGCCGGATGATGCTTGTGTACGACCTCATGCCCAACGGGTCGCTGCAGGACGCGCTGCTCGGGAAGAGGTGCCCCGAGCTGGTGTCCGGCTGGCCGCGCCGCCTCGCCGTCGCCCGCGACGTCGCCGCCGCGCTCCACTACCTTCATTCCGTCGTGCAGCCGCCCGTGATCCACGGGGACGTCAAGCCCAGCAATGTGTTGCTGGACAAAGACCTCCGTGCCCGCCTCTCAGATTTCGGACTCGCACGGATCAGGTCTGAAGAGGAGGATGAGTTGGAGAGCGGTGCCATTGGGGCCGATGCAGACGGGAACGCCAATCCCGGTGGTGGATGTGACGAGGATATGTCGGTGGCTGGCGAGAGCACCACTGCTGTCGTGGTTAATGGGGAAGACAATGCTGCCAAGTCCCCGGAGGATGATGAGGTGCTCACCACGGCATCTCATGCAGAGGCCGTATCCACTTCCGGATGTGACAAGACTAGTGTTGCTAGTGGATGTAATGCCCGAAGCTGCAATGGGGGAGGTGCAGGAGGATCAGGAACTGGGAGTGACTGGTGGTGGCGTCAGGACAATGGTGGTGGTGGTGGTGGTGGCGGCGGTGGCAGCGGCGGTGGCGTTAAGGACTATGTGATGGAATGGATTAGATCGGAGATCAAGAAGGAGCGACCGAAGAATGACTGGATTGCAGGGCCATCTGCAGTAACCCCTGTTGCTCCAACAGAGAGGAAGAAACCAAAGAGGAGGGCGCGGGAGTGGTGGCGCGAGGAGTATGCAGAGGAGCTCACGAAGAAGCAAAAGCGGAGGGCACTTGCCAAGTCAAAGAGTGATGCTGGTGCGATGTCTGGTTTGCAGTGGTGGGAGAGGGATTGTGATTTTGAGGAGAAGGGCCATTCGAGGTGGAGGATGATGAAAAGCTGGAGCCGGAGGAGCAGCAATGGCAATGGCAATGGCAATGGCAACGCCAGCATCAGTTGGTGGGTGGACGGTGTGAGAAGGAGCAGCAGGGATTGGGCCAGCGGGGAATTTGTGCCTAAGAGTGGTGGAGCAGTGAGCAGCACACCGAGCATGCGTGGCACAGTCTGCTATGTGGCTCCTGAGTATGGTGGAGGAGGGCCTCTATCAGAAAAATGTGACATTTACAGCTTTGGTGTGTTGTTGTTGGTCCTCATATCTGGACGACGCCCGCTCCAAATGACAACCTCACCAATGTCAGAGTTTGAGAAAGCGAGCCTCATTTCGTGGGCAAGGCATCTTGCTCAAGTTGGCCGCTTGCTTGATCTTGTAGACCCTGCACTGCAGGATGTTGATCGAGACCAAGCACTGCTATGCATTACTGTTGCGCTCCTTTGCATTCAGAGGTCACCAGCTCGCCGCCCATCAAGTACAGAGGTGCTTGGTATGCTTGCTGGTGAGGGTGAGCCACCACCTCTTCCGATAGAGTTCTCACCATCACCTCCTGGCGGATTCCCCTTCAAGTCCCGAAGGAAAGGCCGGTGAGTTTAGTTTGTTGGTAGATGAAAAGATAGTGCTAGTATTCTATCCTTATGCTTGTTTCTTCTTGTACTCAACTCCTAATTTATCTGTTTAATTTTTTTATGTATAAAGATCTTGGTGGGACAAAAAAGTTTCCAATTGGGTTCAGATTTGACAAGAATTGCTGTGCCCCATTAATCAATTGGATAGTCTTAGTTTGGTTATTCCTTGTGCAAACTCCTTTCTATCTAGTGAAATATCGATTGGAGACAAATATGAATTTGAGTTGTAATTGACAAGAATTGTGTTCTCAACCAACATGCTTAAGTGTTTATTGGTTAACAGCAGGAATGCCATGCTTCATTAAATCATAGTTGATTTGATACTTGCGTGACCACATGAGGTTAGGAGTTCCCCCTGTTCTTTTTGCTGGGAGATAGAGAAGCATGTTGCCTTTTGGACATGCTTTGGGTGTTTTGGATGTAGTGCCCTTCCAGGCCCTAGTGCAGTGGATTTTCACTCCGTTTTGACAACCATTTTCTTCTGAACAAGCACATCCACTTGTGTGATGATTTCAACTTTCAAGCTTTTGCTGTTCACGGTTCCCTGTCACTTTTCTCTTTCCACTAGGATGGTACATTCACTTTCTCCAGCCAGTATATTCTACCTAGTTGCTTCAAACAGCTTGTGAAATATAGATATTATAAGTAGACTGAAGACCACTTTACTATCTGAAAAAAGGCCTTTCGTGATTTCTTCAACGAAGCTAGTGCGGGCATGGTTTAGTGCCACAAGCCCACAAAGCAATAGTTTAGGCATAAACCTTTAATTGGGATTGGCTGCCTGAACTGTGAACTCTGAAGGCTGAACCTGGCATAAGATTCTGGGTCCTATTTTAAAGCAATTACCGAAAAGTCCAAGCTCGTGCACAGTACTACTACAACCCCATGCTCCGTGCCTTATATGAGAGATGTTCTTTTAGTGAATTCTTAGACATGTAACTGCATCAGCTATTCAGCTGGCATGTAAGACTGTAGATTGAACTGGATTGCTAATTTGACACCCCCTTTTTGCTATCCTTTACTTTTAGTTTTATATGCATTCGTTTAGTCTTTGCTTGTGGTTACTTCCTTAATTGGAAAACAAATAGAAGCTCAAACCATTCACATTCTAAGACTAAGATATTATGGATAAAACTTCAGTGCATGTGAAGGAAAAAAAAGGTAAATCAGATAAGGATTGCCTATTTACTGTGACTAGAAGTACTTGACACAGTGATGAGTGATTAAATCTTGGTAAAGATCTGTGTTTCTCAAAGTCAGATACTCAGATGTCGTCATGATTTTCAAGCATCAACTTCTCATATGGGTCATACAGAAACAATTGGTGTGAAAATGTCATGGAGTACGTGACAAAAATTGTTTTGATCGACCTCTGTGGCTCTGTGCTTCTTTGGGCTAATTGAAGTTGGTTAGCATATGCGATTTGTTCTCAGACCCTTTTATGTAAACTGTTGGCAACTGGTGATCGTTGCATATTGAAACAAGAAAACCTAGCAGGTGGAAATGTTGAACTTGTTATTACTGACTGAACATTTAGCAGTCCAGTTTGTGCTGCTCTTAGGGCAATTACAATTGAGATGATGAACAGAAGAGGAAAAATACCTTGAGGCAAGCAGCAGGTTTCTGATGTGAATGTTTTCCTGTTTGGTCGGTCATTGTTAATTCTGGCACGGTACTTGAATTGGAAAATGCTTATGCTGATTACCCTGTTGCAGTACTCTCTTAATTTTGCTGATGTTTGATTTCATTTTTAATAAATAATCCTTACATCAAAGGTATTTCTGTCGCACGAACACACCGTAGATTGTTCATTAATCAATGTAATATACTCCCCCATCCCACAAGAAAAGCTAAAAACATCCGTCATGCTTTGAAGACGGCGCGTTGAGTTGTCAAAATAAAAGGTTACACGTAGTCGCACGCATTGATCCCAAACTATACATTTATTACCATCAATTATACAGTTATACTATCATTCAATCATGAGTGTAACACCCTAGGTGTTTGGCTTCCACTAAATTGCATTTTATTTCATAAACATATGCATCATTCATGTCACCATGCCATGATATCTGAAACATACATATGCAACACTCGCAAATTCTGTTGTTTCATACTTGATTGCTTAGAATGGTAGTAGTGCAACATGTGAATGTAACATGAATTTCTCATACTTTGAAACATGGCAATATGGTAGTAATGTGACAATTATAAAATGATAACAAAGTCATGAAACATGTGAAACATTGCATTGCAACATTGGGTGAATTGCTTGTTTTGTTGTTTCATCACATGTGCTCATTTGAAATGGTATAACAATTGTGTAAGGTGGTTGATCATGGTCTAATACACCTTAACTACACTTAGGGTAATTGTTTGGACATTGTTCATGTAGATCAAAATGAAAAAAATGCCCCAAATGGAGGTTTGACTTGAATTGACCCTTAGAGTGCCACAGTTTGACTGATTCAAAAGTCCAACTTAGGGATTTTGCATGGCTGTGCACTCTTTACCAAAGTTGGAGCTAATTTATCAAGGAACAAAAGTTGTTTTATGATCATCTCATGAAAATGGCTAGAACAAGCTCAAACATGGCCCACAAGTCAGAATTTCATGCTGATTTCACACTTAGAAAATATTCTAAGTCGTAGCTACATTTTCAATGGATCAAGCCAACTTTTTCTTGATGTAACTGCTGATCCATGGCGAATTAGATGATGGTCCTTGAAAAGAAGTTGTAGATGGATAGTAGGCCTACATTTTTCATGTACACAGTTTTTGCAAAGGAGCATTGGATTAGCCGTGTTGACACGTCGAATACTCGCTGTCAGTCATCATCCTCGAGCACTGAATCGCCATTTTCAGAAAACGTTCAGCGAATGTCATGGCCGACCGGCGCAGGAGCCGCTCGCCGCGTGGCGTTCATGCTCGGTCGAAGCCTCCACGTCGCGCGTTCGACCTCCAGAAGAAGGCCAGCGCCTGCCCGAACGCACTCGCCTGCTCCATTGCTTCTCTCTCGCCTCCACCGCGCGCAGCGCCGAGCCGCAGCAGCTTCCCTGTTTCCGACCGAGTGTCGCCGTCGTCGTGCGCGCTCGCCACCGCAAAAACGCGTTGCTCAGCTCGTTAGTAGCTTCGCAGTGATCTCCTCTACCTCCTCCACCCCACCATCGGTCCAATTGAGCCTTGGTAAGGGCGAAATCGCCGTTTTCTTCCACCGCCGCCATGGCTGACCTCGCAGGAGATGGCGCTCCACGCGGCCAGCTATCCTCGCGCCCTTTCCATCCCTCCTCTACCTTGAGCTAGGTCCAGTGCATGCCACTGATGCTCGTAGGGTCACCCTTTCGAGCCGTGGTGCCGTAGTCTCGCCGGAGCCGGCCCTGCCGTGGCCGTGCGCCACCATGCTCGTCGCCACCCCCTGTAACCGCAATAATAGTTGCGATTGAGGGCATCGCTAGATGCGCGCGGACGAGGTGAACAGCGTTGTACTGCTGGACTCGCCGGAGGAGTCACCGGCGACGAGTTGCGCCGCCGTCTCCTTCTCCTCCCCTGTCTGTCTCTCTGTTGCGTGGGTCCCGCACGTCAGTCGCCGTGCCGAGGGCGGGAGCCAGACCTGGGCTACGCCGTGTCTGGGCCGCGCCATTGTTTGCTTCGCGGGCCGCCGTTTCTTCGGGCCGGCCCACCAGTAGTTGAATTGGTTTTCTTAATTTGTTTTGTTTTATTATTTTCACAGATTTATGTACATTTTCAAAAATATGTATCTCTTAGATGGTAGATCCAAATGATGTGGTTCTAATTTTGTTGAGTTCATGATAATGTCTAGTTTCTATTAAAAATATAATCCATGTCATGTTCTATTATGAAAATGGGAGTTTCTATTTATCTCTTTTAATCATGCAAGAAATAGGGGTAATTATATCTTTTTCTAGGTAGCTCCAAATGGCATGAAATTTTTATGGTGTACTATCCATATCATGAATAGATTGTAGTTAAATTTTCATAAATTTTGGACACTGTTTGTAGGAGATAGAAAATTATCTTATTTGCATGGATGGATCTTGTGTGAATTTTCATAATTTTTCTATAGATCCAGTTAGGGTAAAAATTGGTGAGTACTGTTCTTATGCTAGAATGATGCTAGGAAAAATTAGAAATCTATTGCTTGACACTTTTCAATAGTGTTTCCTAATTATGCTAAAAATAGATATGCTACCTATTATTTTGGATACAACAAGTTCTGCTTGTCAATTGGCTTTGAAATTGTTATGGTAGTCTACGTGAAGCATGAGATAGCTACTGTAATTTTTGTAGATTTTTCTGAACAGTTTTACTATATATTGCTTTAATCACCTAATTAACTAAAGAAATTAGAAAAGGGCATTAAATAAATTGTTTAGAAGTTGGCACTAGACTTTCTGATGTTTCTTTGGTATGAAAAACATGTTGGTAAACTTGGTTTGGTCTAATTATGCTTTTACATCATCATTAAATAATTAATTTAGTAACCCTGTCATTTCTGGATAGATTCTAGGTTTACTGGAATTCGATTTGGTTAACGTAAGAATCATGCTTTGATGTTTACAAATGATTTGTAGATAATTTCATAAGCTTTCCAGAATGTCCTCATGCAAGTCATTTGGATTTGTAGAACTCTTGTTGTGATTGAATTAAGGAACTACCCGTGTGCATATGAAACTTTAACTGTTGTTTAAAGTATGCCTTTACTATTTCTAAGTTTGTGGTAATGTTCCTAGGTGTTAGGCCTTTAACTGAAGATGAGCATCTTTATCTTAGGTTATGCAAGTTAGGTAAGTTGATCTTGTTCTTCAAGTTAAGTTAGATACCTATTTTAAAGTGATTTGAATAGAGCTATTCTTAATCGGTAAACGAGTGTCCAGTGATGTTTTCGTTAAACACTTACTGTAATTCATTCATCATGAGCATCATGTCATTCCTTATGCATCTATGATATTTATCTTGTGCATCGACATGCAATAGGTGTACCGGAAGGAGTGACCCTGCTGGAATTCAAGGAACCGAGCGAGCAGCAGCAGCCGACGCCGAAGGTTCAGGAGGTGCAGCCTTCAGGAGAAGTGCGAGACGAGGTCGCCGTTGAGTGCCCAGATCACCGTCCGTGTAACTTTGTGAAAGGCAAGCCCCGGAGCATATTAAGTCTCCTAATTTCTGAAATACAGTTACAGTATTATTGTTACATATATATATATTGTTGCATTAAGTTTAGGTGTTGGATGCAAACACTTGCTGCATTGGTTACCCGATCCTTGTTCAGATATTGATACCCTGAATCCTATGTAGCTCAGGCTCGTGTAGTGCTTAGCCCTGCTTTAACACGGTAGAAGACAGGTGATTTCCTGTCACCTGCGAGATATAGGAAGATACATATGGTACGGTTGGCTATATTTGCTATCGTGAAAAAGAACCAGTCTTAATTTAAAATGAAGACCGGACGGAGGCTTGCCGGTTTACAGTGACTCCGTCTGTGTCGATTAAGAACTGAATCTTGAAGCCTTTCCTGTTCATGTTGAACGCATGCCTCTCTCTTAGTTGGCCGTGTCCGAAGACCGACCACGAAGCCGAGTAGTTCACCTCAGACCAAGAGTCGATAAGTATAAAGTGCGCCTCGGAAGGGAGCCGTAGACGTGAGTCGAAGGGCAGGTGATTTAAAAGTCCTGATCGTCCTGGCAGAAGGGTAATCCCTGAGAGTGCTGGCGCTGATCGAACCCGCGAATTTGGTTCCTGAGTTGTTCCAAAGGTGACCCACGGCTACCCTTGCTAAGTATGCTAGGGTGAGAGTTAGGAATACCCCCTCAGCTGAGTTGTAATTCGATTCGAGTCGCCGTCTCTTCCGGTTAGTGAGAACTTGACGGGCTTATCTCCAATGTAGACGCACTAAATAACATAATGGTTCAGAAAGGATGATATGATGATGACAGCCTTATTATACCTACTATGGTTAATATTGTTTGCTCCTAATAAGTGAGTGCTCTAGTACAGGTGTTAATCTAGTGGACAGATAAATGATGATAAGCTTGATGCTAAGTTTAAATTAGTTACTATAATCATAAGCTCTTTTATGCAACTGTGTTGAGCTAGCCCACCTCATAAGCCTTGTATGATCCTTGGTGTCTTTTATTTCTGGTTTTGTCGAGTAAGTCTAGCTGAGTACCTTCTCGTACTCAGGGTTTATCTCCCACCTGTTGCAGATGACCAGTTCTACTTTGGTTGCTGCAAGTATTGCCTTCTCCCGGCTGGGGATGAACACTAGACCGTTGGGCACGGTCTTTCCTAGTTCTCGTACCTGATGATGCTTTTGTGGGACATGACTAAGATCTGGCAATGTATTTGGAACTATGAAGTTATGTACTAAACTATGTTGCTTCCGCACATTTAAACTTGGTTTGTAATATTTTATTTGAACTCTGATGGATGTAATCCGAATGCTACTTATGAAATGTTGTAACGGATGATGTGTTGTGTTGAATCACTACGGTCTTGGTTTGTATGTCGAGAGTTGGTTGAAATCCTTCGTGATTTCTGGACTACCGGGATTATGGGAGCTTAAGTACAGGAATTTGATCACTTCGGTGATTGTTTTTGTACTTACGTTCTTATGATTTGGTCGGTTCTGTTACAGCGAGTTGCTTTATGAGGTCTGGACTCGCGGTCATCGATCCAACGAGCACAGAACACTTTATATTATATGATTATAAAATGCCTATATCAATAACACCTCAGTTACCCCGATGCAGAATATAAGTTTAGGATCTCCTGAAGAATTCAATCTAGAGTAATTCAAGAATCTGGATTCTAGGTTAAAAAAAAGTCTATTTCCTTTCTGGCAGAGGCCTCTTGCTGAGCATCTTGGTTGCCAATACAGTCAATTCTGAAGGATAGGTAAAAAAAACTGATCATGCAAGCCATGTGCCATAAAAAAATCTGTTACACTGTTGCATTCCGAAACAATCTACGTGTTTCAGATGGCTACTGGGATAGAAGCATAACACTATGACCATATACAGGTAGAGTAATTTGTCTGTTCACTTTTGTTCCTTCTGAAGAACGACTTTGCCATGGCAATTCTTGTGAGATATTTTCCTCACAATGTCTGAAAATGTTTTCTTGTCCTGAATGGAATGGTAGTCACAAATTACTGTAATAAAACTTAAAATGTATGGTAATGCATTGAGAACAAACATGTAATCAAAAGGCTGAAGAAGCCTACCTCTTGAGTTATTAGACGAGCCTTGAACCTCAACACCAGATCTTGGCATGTGGTGGGTTCAATTGCACGAAGTACTGCCCTGACTTCCTCCTCTGTAATGGGTGAGGATTCTCTTCTTTCTGAAAGAGATGATTTTGATATTGGTTCCGAAGAATACAGCTTTTCATCCTTGACAACCAATGTTCTGGTTTCCTATATACCAAGAAATAGGGCAATTTTAAAGCAAAGAACCTGGTGCAACTTATGATTATATGACTGCAACTCAAATTTCACATGTGTATGTGCAGAATGAAGAAACTGCATACAGGTTCTATCTTTATCTTTTTGGAGGTTGCACCATTAGAAGTATTTGCATCACCACCCCCTGATTTCCTCTTTTGATTGGATTTGGATGAAGGTGTGGCGCTCTGAGTGTGCTCCGATGGTGTTGGTTTAGCAGGGTTGCTATCCACTGGTTCACTTTTGGGTACAAGTTGTTTTGAAGCAAGTTCTGGCGATGGTAGGTCATCTTCCTGTTGGACAAAAGCACAAAGCAGATACAAAGATGAGTTCTATTCCACAAGATTAGGTTTGCTAATGCGTCCCACCTCATATGAAAGAATATGTGAGTTCTAAGAAGAATTGTGATCATTACATCTGTGCTTTTGTCGTCAACGTCAGACTCATTTTCCCCAGCAGCTCGACGAAGCAGCTTTTTTAGCTCCTGACCAGACTTGCTCAAGTTGTCACTGCCGCCTAGTTCATTCTCGTTGTCATCCTGTGAGTATTATGGTGGAAATCAGATATCACATCTTATGAATGGTGAATTGGTGATCCTGGTTAAGGCAACAGCATGTGCAGATCTAGTGATAGCATACTAGCAGCATAATGCAGCAGGCACATCACATGTTGTTTACCTGTTTAATTTCAGGAGGAGCAGCCTCAGGATCAGCTAAGTCAGGTCTTTCCTCTATATCAACATCCACAGCCTCATCATCATCAGTGAAGGTCTCTTTGTGCTCCCAATCGTCACCTGATAAACAAAGGTTGCAGAATCAAGCTAAGATTCATGCTAAATTGGATAATATGGGTATGGAAATTTGGTATGCAGCCTTTTTATTCTTCATTCAGGTGTGAAACTGTGAGTAGTTCTGAGGAATGACACTAAAGTATGTGCTGTATAAGTGCAAGAAGAAATTCATAAAATCTCAGTATTAACAAAAGGTAGTATTTGATATGTATACCTTTCTCAATTTCATCATCCAAATCGAAGTCTATGTCCTTTCCACCTTCCTCGTCATCCTCGTCCATGCCCTTCATAGTAAGCCCAAGCCTATTTTTCCTTGCAGCTCCCCCTTCTTCGTCGTCAACTTTGTCAGATTGATTTTCATTCTCATTCCTATCTCCTTTCATGGGGTGAACACCATTTGTTGCCCCTATATTTACATCATCAAGCCTCTTCACACCTGAACTAAAGGCAGCAGCTCCATTTGCAGCTGCCTTCATCATCCACCGTTCATACCCAGATGCACTACTTCTCCTTCTATTCATTTTCTCTTCAGCTTCTTCCAAGGTCAGCTGTTTGTACTGTGCAATTTTACTGAAGTTGTACCTGATAGGACATGAGAGACTGTAAGAATGCTCTAACAAAATTAAGAGAGCACCCATCTCAAAAGAAATTATATTAGGAGCTTTCTGCCACAGAATTAGTAATGTCAAGACTTGATGAAACCTATACACTCTAATGGTGCTTGAATCTTACAAGTATGTATGTTCAGATGATGGATATACGATCACAGTTCGTTTAAAGACAAATAATAACAGAGAAAGCAGAGAGAACAGTACCAGGGACCAACTTGAACAGCAATCATGTCATTGACTTTCAGTGTCAGTGAATAGTATGTGAAAGGCGGATCCTCAGTTTGGCCCTGATACTGATGTTCACCCGTCTCATCCTCCAAAATCCACGGCCTCTTGCTGTAGTGTCTGTCCTGTTTTATCAAATGTGTGCACATGGTTTAACAGGGGAAACATCAGCTTATTGTCCTTAAGTTGCTATTGCACAAAGATCTTATAGCAATATATTTGTCAACTGCATACTGCTAATTTGCAACTGATACGAGATGTCTGATGCAGCATAACTACTTTGCAGTGCTATTTAGATTGATTGTGATTAGTTAGAATTTACACAGGTTCACAATTGTTACACTGTTTTTATGTATGATTAAGGATACCAATAGAGTGGCAGCATTGTCTGCAGGTTGTCCAAAGCAAAAGAATGACAATGATGATCATCGACGATCAAAAGCCAGTACCCGCATATTCCCAGTCCCAGTAAGCTGCCGTCCTTGGGGAACATCCTTGCGAAGAGTCCACCTGTTCTCTGCGCTCCTCTCCTTCGAGAAGGGCGGAAAGCCGGTGGTGAACCTGCCGATGGAGTGGGTCTTCTCCTTCTCCGCGGAGGTATCCACCCGGACATCGAATTCCTGCGCAGTATGGACTGTTTTTATTTTCAGGGTCCTTTTGGAACACAGTTGGGTACTCTCTGAACCGCAGGAGATAGTTGCCCATCATACGGCTCACCAACTTCACTTGCCTCTAAGGGGCATTCGCTCCGGGCAGGTTCGGATCACTTACTATACACGGCCCTACGAAGGGTTTAGGAGCTCAAGATGATTCTTTCTTTGTCGAGACGAAAAAGGAACCCATCTTTTCGATTGAAAAATGTGAGTCTGTTTTGCCCACTTTATCCATCCCCCTCTATCAAAATGATCAAAAAACAAAGGAATAGAAAAAATATAGGAATATGATAGGAATACATGTGTAAAACATAGGATTGAAAAACAAAGGAATTTAGTGAGTATGGTTATTTGGATGGCCAACGGAAAAACACAGGGTTTCTAGATACGAGTTAGTGGTAGATCACTTCTATTATTAATCAATCATCATCAGCAAGGATCAAGCGACCTGGGCCCCACCTATCAATCTATCATTGGGAGCCTGACCCATCCTACGTAAGATCACCTACAAGGATGACAGAGTTGTTTGCCTCGATCCTATGCGTGGGAATAAAAAAAAGATTGAACGGGATGGAAAGTTTCTTGTGTTTTTTCCCTATAGAATCAGCCATGTAGGAACTTTTCCTCTATTTTTCCTATATGGAGCTTCCTACGATCCAAAAGCTGCTATAGTACTTCAATCCTAACGGATATGAATCTTATATTTTTTTCTTTGTTTCACCTCCATTCCGAAGGGGCCCTCATTGGCCACCGTGGCCGTGGTCACCTATCCTTGCGCCGCCGCCCCCTCCCAGTCATGAGCAAGCACGAGATGCAGGACGGCGCGAGAAGAAAGGAGAATCTAGGAAGATAGAAAGAGGAGGATGGAACAACATAGGTAAAATAGACATTTCATACTCATGTTAGCTGTTGTTTTAGCTAAAATACATAGATTGTAGTGGCATACTGGGAGCTTAAAAATGAAACGGTGATGTAAAAGTCTGCAATAACTTTTTTCAGTGATCGATACAGGATTTGGGCCTTTTATAGCGACTTGTAGCAAATTGTGTTATGCGACTATTAGATATTTAGATAAATTAAGCAAATTGTGTTATGCGACTATTAGATATTTAGATAAATTAAGGTATACTTTAATTTTTTTTTAAAAACGAAAGGTTCGTGACAAACATGTGCACGGGTGATCTATCCATAACGACAAGCATATTGAACACATCGATTTAAATAAATAAATAAATAAAACAACGAAGTTGCTAGTGTGTAACCAAAGAGGGACTAGTCCCAAAGGCACCGATTAGGCACCTCCCACTAGTCGACATAGTGGGCTATTTGAAGTTGTGAATCACAGTTGATGCTGGGAAATGTTAACCCCCACAAAGATCCCAAACGGTAAGTTGTACAGGTTTGTCCTGTACGTCGTATCAAAAGTTACGACATCTCCAAGGTGCTCGTAATCTTGTTGATTTTTCCTGGTGCACCACAACATATTTAGTATTCTCCCGTCTGCATCATTCTGGAATCTGACCTTCATATCATTGTTATATCGGCTCATCTGCTCTAGTAATTCCATTGTTTTCTTTATATCCTCCTTGATGTCATCCTGTGCTAATCTTGCGCAAAGGTTTCCAACTGCTTGCTTTCTGATTGGTAATGCAGAATCTGCAGAGGATACTCCGATTATGCTCCATACACGACCAAGTGTAACGTTGTTTGTTCTCAATCTCTTGATGAAATCCTTTGTTAGTGGATCTATATCGCCGTGTGAGCCCCATTGTTTCTTCTCACCATATGTTTCTGAAAAGGGCATGGTTGTGTTCCGAATTATCTTACTCACAATCCAAGAGTGGTTGGCTGTTCGATGGAGTCTCAACATAGCTTTGCATCCAGTTCTAGCACTTGCTGCTCTTGGGTTTTGGTAGGAACCCTGCATAAAAAGAAATGACATAGATGAAGTTAAGCTTGTTCACTTTTTTCATTTTGTTCAGCTACTTTTATATTAATTCTCGATGCATGAATTTTTCTAGGTTTTATTTACCTCGCAGGAGCATACTATATCCTTTCTTGTGGTGTACTGATTGTTGTTCGTCTTCGATCTTGATGTCCTTATTCCGAACCCAATTTCCCTTGAATACAAGTTGTAGAACTCCTTGGCCTCTTCATATGAGCTGAATGTAGTTTCTTCATATGGGAAGAAAATTGGATCTCCTTTCCTATCTTTTGATGATGCAATTGCTATTGAAATTGCGCTTTCTGTTGTTGCCGTCAAGCAAGCATCTGGACCTTCCTTCCCCCTTTTCCTGTTTGCAGAATCATTTACATATCGTCCCCACCTAGATTATAGCCATGAACCTAACAACCAATGAACTAATTCTGGTCACCTTCCTTTCTACTACTAGATATTGCACAATGTTTCCCATATCAGTTCCACCAAGTTTACTGACAAGAACACAATACCCATTGTTAATGTCACACAAGAACATACCACCCTCTGTTCTAACCATCTCATTATTCCTGATACGTCTTCTAATCCACTATTGTCCTTTTCATTACGTTGTGACCACACATATATAACTTTTTATTTAGTATAATGTAATGTACTGCAGCAACAAACAATCTGAATCTGATGGTATATGAAACTGTCATTCGCATCATTACACAGGGTTTAGGCTTTCACCTTTTTTTTTTAAAGCTGAGTGTGGTAAGCACCGTTCGGTTTCCTTGATCCCCGCCTTCTCCGTTGGCTCGTATGTTCCTTGTCTGATTGCTCGTCTATTCCAACAAAGCCAGGGGTTTCGCAAGCTGATTGAACTGCTCGTCGCACCTGTTACTCTTATTACCTGTTCGTTGATGCGTACTATCGCCGTCTTCTTGTTGCTGCTCCAATGCTTCATTACTTGATCTTCTTCAGCTTCTTCCACCAGCGACAGCGTATCGGTTGTATCGCCTTCGATGCTTCCTGCTTGCCTGTTTCTTCTGACAACTGATTCCTCTGCCTGGTTTCCTTTTCCTTCGTCGTCGGATGCATCCATCACGGCACCGGATGCCGCTGGGTTCCTCCAATCCTCAGAACCCTCCAATCCCCGCTCTGATGTTGAACCTTTCTTCATTCAAGATCTGGTGTTCTTTGTCGATTTGTTGTTACTAATATGAGACTGCAGTCTTCCATTCGAAGCCAATACTGTGGAGGCAAGCAATAAATGCTACCTGCTTCATGGTGTAGCGCAAGTTGTGCAATCAACTCAACTGGTATCCCCACTGCAGGACCTACATCGATTATTTTTGCATCTTTACAACCAATCCAACTGTCGCCTTGTTTATAAGTTTTTTCACTCTCTTTTCATCACATCAATTTTTAGCCACTTGTATGGAGTATTAAATATAGGTAAAAAAAATAACTAATTACACAGTTTAGTTGAAAATTACGAGATGAATCTTTTGAACTTAGTTGGTCCATGATTGGACAATATTTGCCAAATAAGACGAAAGTGATACTATTCATCGGATTCACTTTTTTTGCAAAGTGAACGAGGCCTGTATGGGAACGAAGCCAACTTCTATATTTACAGCGTGTTTAGTTCCACCCCAACTTCCAAAAAGTTGCTACAGTATCTGTCACATCGAATGTTTGCGGCCCATGCATGGAGCATTAAATGTAGACGAAAAAATAAACTAATTGCACAGTTTGGTGGGAAATTACGAGACGAACGTTTTAAGCCTAATTAGTCCATATTTGAACACTATTTACCAAATAAAAACGAACGTGCTACAGTAACCCCAAAATCCAAATTCCTACAACTAAACAAGGGCTTACTCTCTCTCTCTCTTTTGGCATCAGAGTTGACTGTAACATTTCCTCTCGTTCTTTTTCTCAATGGCAAAGTTGACTGTGAAAACCTGTCAAAGGTATCAAGCATGACAAGTTCTCAAGTACACAGGCATAATATAAAGTGCTTTCAGTTATTCAGAAATTGAAAGCAATCTCTATCAGCTGTACAAATACTACAACAGCATACTACAGGGTAGTAACAGATGTGGGGGTGCCTCTTCATCTTGGTGTACTTCGGGTGGCCACCAACCAGGCAACCACGCACAATTCACGCCGAAATCGACCCGCGGATAAATAAAAACGACACAAAAAAAGAAAAGGGCGGCCAACTTGTGTAGCTATCCGGAATTGAACGAGCTCGGCACTAGTATGCCCGTGTGCCGGGTCTACCCATCGGTTGGACGTTGGCGAGCTCGCCAGTCGCCGCTCAGCATTGTAGCATGACGATGATGATATGATATGATTGAGAAGTGGCCCTTAAAAATCGGTTCAACTTGCACCCAAGTGCCGTACAGCAATCTCCACTGCGGCCCGATCGGTTTGACCATGTGTCACAGCTTGCTCATACCAACCACGTCGCCGGCGCTGGCGCCGGTGTCGGTGTCGGCAGAGGAGTGGCGGCGAACGAAGTCGGCCACCTGCGCGGTGAACTCCGCGGCGTAGTTGGCCTTGAACAGCTCCATCGCGTGGTACCCGGCGCCGTCGAGCCTCGCCTCCACGGCAACCCCGGCCTTGCGCAGAGCGTTGACGAGCGTCCTTGTCCGGTCCCGCGGCGGGTCCTTGCGCCGGCCGAGCACCAGGCAGGGCGGGAGCCTCCGCAGCCGCGCGGCGCCCACACGGGTGACCATCGACTCTGGGTTGCAGTACTCGTGGTCCCGGTCCGCGCCCACGGGCAGCGCGAGCTCCCAGAGCAGGTCGTTCGCCGGCAGCGGCAGCACGCGGTCGTCCACGGAGGCCGCCTCCGCGGGCGACCTCGCGGCGCCGCCGAGGTGCGGCTGGTTCAGGATCACCCCGCGCAGCTCCACGCCGGCGTCCGCCGCCGCCAGCGCGGCGCGGAACGCGATGCTGGCCCCGTTGTGGCTGCCCATCACGAACACGGGCCTGCCGGCGGCGGCGTGCGGGCGCGCCCACAGGACGGCGTCGGCGGCGTCCTCGAACGCCGCGGGGAGGCGGTGCTCGGGGGCCAGGCGGTAGTCCACGGACGCGACGGCCGCCGGCGCCGCGGCGGCGAGCGCCGTGCAGGTGTTGTGGAACGGCTCGGAGGCCGCGCGGAAGAGGACGTACCCGCCGCCGTGGAAGTAGACGATCAGCGGCAGCCGGTCGTGGTGGCCGCCGGACCCGGACGGCACGAAGAGGCGGAGGCCCGTGCCGGTGGCGTCGTTGAGCGGGACGTCGTTGGAGTGGACCGCAATGCGGCGCGCCCCCTGGTCGTCCTCGACCGCGACGGGCTCCCCGGCCGGCGCCGCGGGGAGGAGCGGCGCCTCCCCGTAGCGGCACAGCGAGCCGTCCGGGTTGAAGCGGATCTTGAGGTACTCATACGGATCCATTGCGCCCACCGCTGCAGTGCACAGCAGAGCTCTACCTCGGTGGCGAGACAACAGACAGGTGCGTGCAGGTGCAGCGTGCTGGCTGAACTGTGCGGAACTGAGCTAGATCGTGGCGCTTATATACCGCGAGCGGGGGTGGGGGCTGGGCGCGCTGCGGCCCGCCTGAGTGTCCTTGCTCTGAGAGCGACGGCCGCTCACGGGGACCGGTTGGGTGGCGCAATCCCATCGACGGGTGAGACGAGACGAACAAGACCCCGCGCGAGTGCGGCGCGCCGTCCACACTCACTCACCCGCCGGCCGCCGCGCGGGGGCCCGGACACCGTGCGTTCAACTCTCCTGGGTGGATCGCCGAATCGGATGGCAGCTCGGCATGGGGCGCGGAACGTCGTGGTTGGGTTCAGACGCGCGGATGCGACGGGACGGGCGGACGGCGGGATCGGCTCGATCACCATTCGCCCCGGGTCGAAGGGAGGCGGAAAAGGGACCGCGGCGCGCCAACGAACACCGAGTGCGTGTGGCGTCTACTGCCTGCGGCGCGAGTGGCCGCAGTGCGGCCACGCAGGCCCTCCGGCCTCCGTGTGGTACAGTACACCGGGACGATGATTGCGCTGATGCCGCTTTGAGCTCTCCGACCTGTCCTTTAGCCGATAGGAGGCCAGCAATTTTCCTTCCGTGCAGGAAATGCGGGGTTGCAGACCTTACTTGTGCGCTTCCTGCCTCACTGAAAGTGGTAACATAAAGTCATGCAGACATGCACGGATGTACGTAGGAAAGAAAACAGTTGCAAATTCGGTTCATTTGTGCATCACTTATTATGCTCGCCACTCGGCACTTCCATCCTACCCTTTAGCTAACGCAAAGCGGCAACGACGTGATTAGCGATCAAGATTCAGGCGACAGTAATATCTACGGATCAGACACATCCCGCTCTTTTTTTTTTTGGAAAGTTTAGTCTGGCTGTCTGATTTTTTTTTCCTTATCTTTTTGGAAAAAAAATGACTCAAAGCTATCATAGCACGAGACAACCACCAACCACAGTGCTACTAGGTTTGAAAGGAATGGGAGCCTGTGGGGCTAGGCTGCACGAAATACGTTAGGACTGTCGTGTAGCAATGTCAAGTTGTTTTTAGAGTGAAACTGTCCATCCAAATTTAAGTTTTCAACTTAACTTGACGTGGATATTTATATCTTTTTTATTGATTTTAGGATTATAAACGTTATCTTTTAGTGATAAGCGATGTGTTTTGTGAATCTCAGAATATGTGTCCAGTCTTTCAAATGTGTTCATGCGTTACTGTCGTCTGCACTTTTGGGGGGGGTGGAAGTTGTTTTTAGAATTCCATAGAACGATTCCAAAGCACCGAGTGCGATTCCAAAGCCAGCTGACCCGAGTGTACCGTGTGAGCGTATGGTCCGGGTAGCTGCTGACCTGGGAACCTTTATATTTTCTCCGGAAAACAATAATCAGTCTCGAAAACCAATAATGCGAGCGACAGCCCGTGAGCGATGTCTGTACTTTGCACGACGAGCCCCGATCATCTACTCTACCCACTGATGGAAAAGAGCCGCCCAGATGGCCAGATGTCACCGCCGCCGGTCATGCACCTACGGACGGAGCGGAGGCGCCACTCACCGGCCGTCTTCACGGCTCCGACCGCAGAAGCACCGCCCCGCCGTCCCCAATTTGGCATGGGGCTGCATGCTTTTACTGAAAACGACGGGCATTTCACCGTCTCCGTTTGTTTTGTTTTCAAATGGCCCATCGGTAGCCTATTTTTTTTTCTCTCATAAGAACCAAGACCAACCGAACTTATCATGCCAGAAACAAATCAGCGAACGGGCTCTTTTTCTGCGCCTCCCCGTGTCCACACTGGGGAGGAGTGAGTGCCTGCGCAGGTGTATGCGGCGCGCGCGGCGCGGGCGAGGACGACGACCCCCGCGCGGCCAAACTCGTGCGCCGTGCACGGAGGACGGTTGACGCAGCGGCTGGCGTCCTGGCGTGAAGGACTGGAGGTGTTCAATGTTTGTCCAGGTCTCTTCCGCGTGTGGAACAATGCAGCATCGTTGTCGGAGTCGGGGCCGACCGGCCGAGGACGGCACCACGTGCTGGCCGGGTCCGGACCGCCGGAGCCCTGAGCCCGGGAAAATGCAGGGGAGACGAGCAGTAATTAGGTCATATTTAATAAGTTGCCACGTAAGTATTTTAATGACGTGGCACCATATTTAAAAATAGAGAGAAGAAGTGAGTTTTATAGGGATGAAATTCTCCTAGCACAGTTATAAATTCACAATGAGTCATTGAATTAAATGTTTATGAAACAACGAAATGAAACTATACGTCGAGAGTGGTTATTTTCATTGAAGTTTCATTGCATTTTATTTGAGGTGATATTCTTGGAAACAATACTATGAAACTCTCCTTAAAACTGGCTTATGTATGCATTTAACATATGAGTAACATTTAGAAAGAAAAATTACCGTATAAATTTAAGACTACACCTCTAATGTGTTAGATAATTATATATGCGTAATAAAGATGGTCTCGACTCTCGACTGAACTTTTTTCTAAGCTAGGCGTCGGAAGATGCGAGATCCATTTCTCCCATGTGCAGCGTCGTCTGCCGAGTAGGCCTGCGCATGTGTTTGGTCAGCGCAC